CAGTGCTCCAAAGCACAGGATGGTGATGGTGTTGACCTATTCTCTGTAAGCATAGCCAAGATTCTTTCTAATGAATCTTTTTTTCTCTTTAGTCAGGGCTTCAGAGGGGCAAGATACAACTATAGCTCTCCAGAACTGTATTATGTAAATATCTATACTGACCAGTTTACCAGTATAAGGAACATGGGAGAGGAAAGTGGAAGAAACTCCTGGGTCTATTTTATGTTTGCTACTCTCCCCCATTTCCCTGCACCTGGCTTGAGGGAGAAAGGAAAGTTCTTCAGGGCTGAGAACTAGAGCTGATACTTCTCTGATTTCTCTGGCTGCCATCAGACTTAGCTTTAATCAGATCTTGGCCTGTCATAGGATCATAAGAATTGTAGGAAAATAGGCAAGGAAAGGGCCTCACTAGGTCGTCTTAAAACAGGGGCAGGACTAGATAACATCATCAGTGACTAAACCATCCCAGCCAATCATCTGTCTAACGAAAATTTCTAGGAATGGAAATCCCACTTCTCTGGGGAGCTTCTTCCAAGCTTGACCACCATTAGAGTTAGAAAGTTCCTTGTAACCTCCAACCTAAATTTCCTCTGCTGTAGCTTGAGGCCATTGTTCTCAGTACTGACCCCTGTGGCCACAGAGAAAAGGTGCCATTCTCTCTATATTTGCCCTTCCTGTATTTGAAAGCTGCTATCAAATCCCCCTCAGTCTTCTCTCCTCCAGACTAAGTAAGCTTATTTCTTTCAGCCTTTCCTTGTGTTAACTAACAAAGGATTAATTATAATAAAATATGATATATTCCAGATTGGTCTGCTCTCATGCCCTAGTACCAAAAAAACATCCTTGTGAGTAAGGTATTAGGTTAGTAAATATTGCCTGAAAACTTTTCTTTATAGCAGTGGCTATTGCCTGCATATGTCAAGTGGAAGTTCCCCATTATAGAAGTTCTGAATCCCTCAAACTTCTAATAGTCATAAACAGGTCCAAGTGGGTCCATTATATAAATGGAAGAATGTCTTCACCTTTTGGTACCAACTTTATCAATTTTTATTTTATCTTACCCATATTAGGTATTAATTTAGATCCACAATTTTCCATGATATGTGGAGAAGGGGTGGTATTGTGTAGGGGTAGCTTCACGCTTGCAGATTGTCAGAACCCATTAATTAGATGTCTATAGCACAGAGGAGAATTGGTATAGCACAGAGGAAAATTGGTTTAGCACAGAGGAAAAGTCCATTGGTTTGATACATATGGCACAGTTTTGCTGTCAGTCATTTGGTAGTAACTAGGTCACAGTGGAAAATTCCGCTATGCCTGAACCCAGTAACCAAATGCTACAGTAGTGGAAAATTACAGCTTAGAAAAAGTTCCCGTCATCCTCATGCAGATACATACACCATTATTGGCCGGTTTTAAATTATTCATATTTGGCGACTAGTGATTGGCTTGCTAGCCATATAAAAGTTAAGAGCAGTTTCCGCCCAAGTTGGAGAACTCCGAGCATGTGAGAGAGTAAACTCTAAGAAGAACTCCGTATACATCTCGGAGACCTCAGAGGCAACTTGGCGGACTGATCACCCGACAAGAACTCCCCGTCACCGACCCAAGTTTAGACGTAAACCGACGACTGCCAGCCCGTGCACCTCTGCAGACCGACCTAACAAATCCTGTACCTGTTTACAACTGTAATCTAAGTCAGTTCTCGTCCTGCCCTGTAATCATCAGCAGTGTAAGTAAACCATCTATTTGTTACCAATACGCATCTGTGCCTAAGTCCGCTCCGTCGGTCAAAAGTACCTGCCTGACGTTTCGGGGCTACTGGCCACAGCCCGGCCTACCACTTGACCCCCACACAGATGAGCGTATATAATTATTTAATCTGCTTTTGAAGGTTGCTTTCATAATCTTCCAACTCTGTGGTTACTTACTTTAAGATAAAGAGGGCTTGTAAAAATCATCTATAGACTAGATGCATAAAGGTCAGAATGCCTTTTTGCATGATTTCTATACCAATATTATTAACTTAAATCTATCTGACATCTAATATGTAGTAGGTATAAAAATAGAGTACATCCAAGGTCATTATCTTAAAAATTAAAGGTTACATGAGTGTATACAACTTCTTAAACTCTAACATAAAATATTGGGAGAAGGGGGAGAAATATTTAAGATCTGTAAAATGCTTTGTTCCTTTTAGAAAAGATAGACTGCAGTGGTTTCCAATCTGTGGTATGGATACCATGAGTGGTATACAGAAAACCTGTTAGTGGTACACATTAAGAGTTTTATTATAATTGCTTTATAATAATGACAAAAATGTGCTGGTAGTACTTAATGTTGAACTGAAAAATTTGCTGGTGGTACTTAAGGTTGTAGCGTTTTAAATTGGTGGTGTGCAACCTGTCAAGAGTTTGGGAATTGCTGAGATTAGCGGGTAAGGGCTTGACTCTGTACACAAACTTTTAAAGAGACAATCGGGGTGATGGGTAGGTAATCAGGTTTGTTATGTCTCTTCTCCATATACTGCTGGTAACAAGGATGTTATCTCTGGAGACACAAATCCACAATTTGAGAACTGAAACTAAGCATCACAGAGATGCTTAATGGGCTTTTCTTCCTAGACTGAGCACTGAGTCCCGTTGGGTAGAGTGGTTTTATTTAATCTTTACTAATCTATACAGGAGCCTCTGGGAATCCCCTAAGATTGGGCCCCTGCTATAGTCCGTGGCCTGTTGTGACCTAGTTATAAACCTTCTCAAATCGTATATAATCAGACATTATAATCCCAATTCCGTGGTATCTTTGAGCGCTAACATATCTTAAATTAAAACTATATATAGGTTTTTAATAAAAATCTGATTATCTTCATTTTTTTAAAATCGTTGATTTTTTTTATCTATCCTGTTTATCACTAATATCTTCACTGTAGAGGTCACTTGAGCATTGTCCTTTGTTCAAGTCTTGTCTAGAGGTGCACTGATACATTGGTCCAACATCAGATCAGTACCAATATAAAGAAAAATGGCTGTATTGGATAATTTGGCTGATAAATGCCCATGCTGTGCTCAGCTGCAGCGCAGCATTCAGGTAGCGAGGAGCACAGCCGGCAGTGTGGAGAGCTGCCTCCAGCTGGTAAGTCTGGTGTGGTGGGAGGGAAGGGAGTGGGGGTGGCAAATAAACGCCCCCTCGTGAAGGCATGGGGGGAGGGGGGGCTGCAGCCGGGTCTGCATGGGGCTTTTCTTGGCGGGGGTTGGGGTTGGGCTCAGAGTGAGCACTGGCAGTGCTAGGACAATGCTGCATCCACCCCAAATCTTGCCACTGCTCCGCTCCCAGTGCCGCCAGCCACCTAGTGCACCCCGGCTCTTCCTAGTATGTGGGTGGAGGCAGGGCTGTGGGGCTGGGAGCAGATTGGCGGTGAAATTTGGGGTGGATGCAGCATCCTCCCAGTGCTGCTGGTGCCTGCTCTGAGCCCAGCCCCTGCAGAGAAGAACCATGGGCAGCCCACCCCACCCCGCACAGATCAGGGGGGCAGATGGCCCTTTCCACCCACCCTCCTGGGATGCAGGCAGCAGCAGGAGCCATCCCCGTGGCCTGGGCAGTGCCCCTTGCGGCCTGGACAGTGACTGCCCCTGCCCCTTCCCTCCCCTTCCACCACACCAAATTTATAAGCTGGAGGCAGCTGTATCAGAAATCATATCAGTATTGGTCGATATGCCTCCTTAAATATCGGCTATTCGTATTGGCCCCAAAAATCTCTATCTAGTCTTGTCCCCACAAGCAGGGGCAGTGAGAGTATGCATGAGAACATTAAGATTGGGTGGCTCATTGGAACATACAAGTTAATTTTTAGTCATTAGCTGATTATTGATGCCTATATAATTTTATGTGGATCCAGACTAGTTTCACTCGGGTACCTCAAGCTGGCAGTGCCTTTTCATAATTCATTTTAGAAATCACAAATGACTCTTCCCAAAAATCACTGGGAAGGAATTCATGGAGTGACCTGACTTATTGCAGTACAAAGGAAAATGAATTATGCTCCCAGACGTCTTAATGCTGTGCATAAGTCAGCACAATTCCAGAGTGGACTTGGAAGTTGGAGTGATTCATTGTAACTGCTTTCTCCTGTAGGCCAGTTTAAAAGAAATAATTGAAGTTACCTCGTCAGTGAACACTCATCTGGAAAACATTTTTCATAAGAACCCTCAAACTTGGCTGCTGTAGATGTTTCAAGTGTTATCTTATAAGAATTTGTTGATGTTTTACTAGTAGTGCTCTCCTTTGTCAGGCATGATTTAATCCAACATTTTCTTTTTCTTCTTAGCACAATAGGATGTCCCACTTCATTATGATTTTATTCTTCTCCCAAATGCAGTAGATTTCTTCTTTGTGATTTCTGCAAAGCAATGAAGCATGTGCTTAAGTCCTCTGTTTCACTGGGGCTTTTTTGGTTATGCAAGTAACTGTCATTTGGAGGATAACTTAAGTAAATATCTTGCTTGTATGCCCTCACTAGCAAAACTGATAGGATGGATACATGTGACTATTTCTTTTTGTATTAAAAAGAAACTCTTGACCTATGATGACTTGAGAAGTCATAATTACACCCTTATTGTCTTTTAAAGGAAGTAAGTACCGAGACCAGAGGAAAATGTTAATTAACTCACTCTTGTGTGTCAGTGACTGAATATTGGTACATTAAAACCAAAAATCAGCATTTTCAAAATCCAGACATGTCTTATGTTTTTTTTTAATTGCCTTTGAATGCTAGTGCTCTAGAGGCTGCTTGCATATCAGCCTGAAATTGGTTTTCTGGTTTTTATTTTGAGACAAGTTTGCCAAGTAACCCATGACTGGTGTTTGCTACACTGGTTCTTGAATGTTTGCCTACTGTTGTTAGGGCAGAGGGAGAAACCTGAAAGTAGCCTTAGTTACTTTATCTAGCACTAAATATTTTAAGAGTTTCAGTTTGACATTCTGGGTTTCTTTCATTCTAGGTTCAAAGGACCTTGTGGTAAAAGCACAGGTTTTAGCTGGTGGTAGAGGAAAAGGAACATTTGAAGGTGGCCTCAAAGGAGGAGTGAAAATAGTTTTTTCGTAAGTTTCTTTTCTAAGTTATTAGTTGTGTGGGGAAAAATATCTTTGGTCCACTTGTGGACTGAAATTTGTACTTCTCTGAACTATTAATTCACAGTAACAAATGGCGTTCATTATAAGTAGAACTATAAAAGCTAGTTACATTTATTTGTAAGCTACTCTTGTTGTTCCAGCATTTCCCTTGTCACACCTGAGCTTCTCTTATTCTAGTCCTGAAGAAGCAAAAGATATCTCCTCCAAAATGATTGGGAAGAAGCTGTTTACCAAGCAGACAGGAGAAAAGGGCAGGATATGCAATCAAGTATTTATCTGTGAGCGCAGATATCCCAGGAGAGAGTACTATTTTGCAATAACAATGGAAAGGTCATTTCAAGTGAGTAATCATAGAAAATAGTGCTCTGACAACAAATTTAGTATGTTTGGGATCAACAGAATATTAATGCTGTTATTCACATGGGTCTGTAATTTGAAACACAGACTTTTTGTTTGCTAGCATGACCTAGGACTGCATGGCTTTTTTTTTTTTTTAAATGCAAAAGTAGCTCACCCTAGCACAGTGTAATCAAAGGAATGCTTTGTATTTGTAAAGCATAACATTTAGGTACTGTGTATTGTATGATTGTCATAGAAGGAGGGGAGCTGGTCTGACTTCTTGACTTCCCTTAATCACCAACTGTTAGATTCAGAGTAACTTAGTTACAGCCATCCTTTTCTAAAGACTGAAGTAAGACTTTAATGGGTGTCTAAAGGAAAGCTCCTGCATCCATATTCAAGAATTGAGGTGGCCTGATTTTGACGGGCTGTGTACTTAAAAAAGGGAAAAAAAACCTGTTAAAAAAATCTCAAATTTTGTTTATGGTCCTGGACCTGCAACATGCTAACACCAGTGTTATGTACACCAATGGAAATTAACTTGGGTTTGTAGTCAGGATATCCCAGGGGAGCTGCAGCAGTGGGTGCTATTACGGTATTTACCTCTAGGTTGCATTGTAGCCTATAACTACCCCAGGATATCTGCATATGCAGTATTGCTGCATAATTTATTTTTACTGCTCTTTTTCTTCCTTGACGCTGGATTTCAATAAGTAACACTGATTTTAATGGGCTGTCATGTTTCCATGCATTTTGGACAAACTTTGCCAGAATCTTACACAGTAGCAGAATCACTGGTGGCCATCGAAAGGTAATTATTCTACATGTTGCTGTGCCTTCTCTGATCTGCAATCTGTTTGAAGGGAAGAAAGAAACTGTGTCTTCTAAATAAGCCAGTCACTGGAATTTGATTCCTTCTCAGAGATAAGATTTGGAGCACATAGGTCCCTCCAGATCACTGCAAGCTTTAATGCTAAGGATCCCTGGATGAGGAAGTACTGCTCATGGTAGGTCACTGGTAGAACATAAGTACTGTACTAGATGAAACTAGTCATCTGTCTAGCCCAGTATGCTTTCTCGGTCAGTGGTGGGAGCGGATGCTTTAAAGGGAAGGCATACAAAAAGGGTATATCTAGAGTGATCTGTCCTGCGTTATACCCTCCATGGCACCCAACACCACTGGTTTAGAGATGCCAAAGGATACGTTCTTGGCTGTTCCATTTAATAGCTATGAATGGATATATTATTTCAAATTTACCTAGTCCCATTTTGAACCTGGTTATACTAGCTGCCTCCACAACCTCTTGTGGTAATGAGTTCTTCAAGTTAATTACATGCTATTACAAAAAAACCCCAAAACTTTCTCTTATTACAAGTTTAAAACTTTCAGTGCGTGCTCCCTAGTTCTAGTTTTCTAGGACTTGGGGAACAATAGTTCTGTGTTCACTAGGTGCACACCCTGCATGATTTTTATAGACCTCTCTCATATTCTGGCCCCTCAGCCTTCTTTCTATGCTGAAGTCCTAGCCCTTTTTAGTCTCTGTTAAACCCAAGTTTCTTCTGCTTTTAAAAATATGCAACAACACCTTGCACATAACTAGATTTCTGGTACAGGATGGTTCCATGCACCTCACTTGGCAATGTAGCTGTTTCCTTACATCACTTTTTTTCTCTGTAAACTGCAAGTGGATTTGAGACCAGAGGTTTATCTCCAGTGCGTGCTGGAAGGTGACACCCATAGACTTTCTTAGTTAAATCCTCCCATTTGAAACAAAACTACTTATAAAATAACCTGATTCCTAAATACTGATCTGTTGAATCTGGTTTATAGAACCATGCTTATAGCTGGTGATGGAATACATTTTGGACAAAATATTCAGAAGATAGTGAAGTGGGTTCTGTAATTTTTCTCTCTCCTCTCCTGTAGTTTTTAAAACTGGGGGATGAGAAAGTCTTCAGTGGTTTCTAGGCAGTAGTGAAGAGAAGTCTTCCAGAACTTCCCAAACTGTATTAATAAGAAAAGGCTTGACTTGGACTTTATTGCGCTATGTATGGAATTAACTCAGTCATACCTTTTAGCTTTCTGATGGATTGTCAGCCCCCAAAGAAGGGATGATTTAATTTAGAGGATCTCTACTTCAGGTCTTCCTAAGTTGTGATTTTTGAGGCATTTGAGACTGTTTAGGATTTTCTGTTTAATTCAAAGCAAAGAATGTCTAAAGTGTTTACAAGTGATCTGTATTCTGGGTTTATAGATGCCCAGTTCTTCTCTTGAGAGAGAAATGTGCTGCTGTTTTCTTTCTTATTCTAAGTAGGTTGTCTGTATAACCTTCATGAAACAATGAAGAATTAGATAATTGTTTGATAATTTTTTGATAATTCTATTTTTCTATATGAAAAATAAATTAGTATTGCTTTGTGCGGGCCTACTCCCGATCCCATCCATGTTGCCATGTGCGGGTCGGGAGCGATCCGGGCCCTTTTCGCTCCGTGCGGGCTGTGGCCCGGGCACGCTGGATCGGAGAGAACGGGCGACACGCTAGAATTAGGCACGGACGCGTAATGGTTGATTCAAGATTGTTTACTTACACCGAAGATGGTCGCGGTGTAGGCTGGACAGTTTCCCAGGCACAGCTCCGATTAAATCCCTGTTTGAGGACTATGACAAGCTCGGTTCTCTCTCACGAAGTTTGCTAGGCTCCGTGGATCGTTTTATTCACTCACTCACACGAAGTTTGCTAGGCTCCGTGGGTCCGTCTCTTTTGCGCGCAGGGAGGGATACGTCTAGGAATCTATCGGCGATGGGGAGAGGCCAGAGGCTGATCAGGCCCCTGTTGCCTTTTAAGAAATGCGTTGGGTCCGTAAGGATCTGCAGCGCTTAGAGATCTTCACGCAAGGCGAAGATTTTCTCTCTCTTTCTCGAACTCTGACTTGGGCGGAAATCACCCAAGCTCTTTATACGGCTAGCAAGCCAATCACTAGCCGCCACGTGTGCATAATTTAGAACTAGCCAATAATGGGGCTCTAATTAGAATACAAATGGCGGGAACTCTTTGCACCCAAGCATTTCTTAGATGCAAAAGAAATGCACCATGCAAAGAAAGCTACAAATTGGCGGGAAATTCTCCCTTGCACCGGGGTTCTCATTTACAGCAGAAAACTCCACTGTGCAAAGAAGCTGCAATTTAGCGGGAAAATAATTTAGCAGTGCCAAAGCGCACACAAAAACAAAAATCATAACTTTGGGTTGTGACATGCTTAATGATGGGGAATGTCCTGGGGGAAAAGGGTGATTTCCATGCTCTTAATGGACTGCAAGCAGTTTAGAGGTATCAAACAAAAAATGACAGCACCCTTATACACCCAGTACTTCAGGTGCTAATCCACTGAATGAGTGAGTTTTATGACTGCTGTACCATTTGGAAAAGATATTTATCAGTGGCCCTAATATCTGTGATATTTCATGTAGATGTTAGGAACAGTATGTATGTAGGGATGGGAAATGAAGCTCATGTTTATACAACCTCTATGACTGCCTTTGACAGATGCATGTACCAGAACAGATTTTGTATTTCAAGGTATTTATTTTTCTAGGCCACAGGATAATTGGAAAGTAGGGCTGAAAGGGACCTTATGAGGTCATCTAGTCCAGCCCCCTGCTTAAGACAGGATCATGATCACTGACTAAATCGGGGGCGGGCAATTATTTTGGATGGAGGGCCACTTACAGAGTTTTGGCAACCCATCAAGGGTGCATGACAGGCAGCCCAGGGCTGATAAATATTAATTTTCTAAATTTTTTTAAGGGCCCCACAAGCCAGATAGAATGGCCTGGCAGGCTGCATCCTGCCTACCCCTGGACTAAATCATCTCAGCCAAGTGTCTGTCTAACCTGTTCTTGAAAACTTCCAGGGATGGAGATTATACCACTTCTCTAGGGAGCTTGATCCAATGCATGACCCACCCACATAGTCAGAAGGTTCCTCCTAATCTCCAACCTAAGTTTCCTCTGCAGCTTGAGGCCATTGCTCGTAGTCCTGTCTCCTACAGCCACAGAGAAAAGCCCATCTACAGGCCAAATTGGTTTGGAGCACAAATCACACGGTTAAGACCAGCGTTTGATCAAAGACCTGGCTCTTGCAACTCTTTTGGTTACAGCAATATTATTAGCCTACCCACTTGTCTTCAGGCAATATGTTCAGTGATCTTTCTAGGTCGTTCCCTGTAGCTTACAAGGATACGATTTTTTTTTTTTTTTTTTTTTTTTTTTTTTTTGAGGGGAGGAGAGTACTAGTCTTTGTAATGTCTGTGCATATCTGTTCCAGTGGATTAATTGATAAATGGTTAACTTTTTATTCCTTCTACTCTTAATGCTTTTCCTGATCCCTGTCCAAAATAGGGAACAGTTCTTTCCTTCTGTGTGTTTTGGTTAAAATGTGGCATTTTTCTCCTCTTAAACCTTTTAATTTAATTGTTATGTTGTAAAACTGAGCATGTTCTCCTCCTGTGTACCACAAGGTGGCATTAGGACACTGGAAATGGTTATTATACTTTGTCCCCTAAAATTTTTCTACTTTAAAAAAAAAAAATAGAGTGTTCATCTTTGAGAACTACTTGCCATGATAGACTTAAACTAGATTACTTTCCAGTTCTTGTTCAAACACTTCCAATGCAATTTCTTATAGAACAAAACTTGTTTGATATTTTTTGTTTTGTGGAGGGGAGTGAGAAATGTTGCTTTGCCAATGAGCTTATCTATTTTTGTGGATAGGAATCCTTCCACAACAACAATAGCTAATTTTCCCATAACTCAGTGCATTTAATTCAGTGCTAAAAATTATCACCAGTGGTTTTTCTGAAAAATGCACATTTTTTGAGCAGTTTGCGGATTGAGACCAACGCCCTGAGGTAAGTGGGGAAGCCACTGGAGGAAGCACAAGCAGGAAGGGGTGTGAGGTTGCCTTATTCTGTCTGAGAAGTAGTGAAATTGTCTGGTTACCT